CTCTCTCACTCACACCTAGGGACAATTTAGAGTTATCAATTAACCTAACAGTCATGTTTTTGGTCTGTGGGAGGAAGCCGGAGTACCGAGAGAGAACCCGCACATGCACGGAGAGAACATGCAAACTCTACCCAGAAAGATCCCCAGACCAGGATTTGAACCAGTGACCTTCTTGCTGAGAGGCCTCAGCTCTACCAACTGAGCCACCGTGCTGCCTAATTTAGTTTGTGAATCTATGTAAATTGGTCATGAGACTTTAGAAAATTACACAAGGGGCACCACCTGAAATCTTGCCTAGGGCACCAAATTGTCTCAGTCCGGCCCTGCTCACATTTATCTAAGAGCTGGAGAAAACTCAAGCATGCACAAAGAACTGCTCACAGAAAGGCCCCAGTTATGAACCTTTATGTTACAGCCTTCTTCTCTAACCATGTATCATATTGTGCTTCCACCAGAGGTGCCATCAGGGTGGCTCCAAAGGGGACAATGGCCACTCCTAAATAACTGGTGCCACCCCATGACCAGTATGATCTTCTAAAGTCACAGGGTTTTACTTGGAGTGTATATTTTATTCTCATATATATTTAGGATTAGTAGAACCACAGAAACATAAAACATTGTTTTGAGCAATGAAGAGTTGACAAAAATATGTTTTATTTGAAATTAAAAAACAAAACTTTAAATTTAGTCACCACTAAAGGCACAACCTGTCTAAAACCAGTATCTTCAACAAAAGGATGCTGATATGTTGAGTATTTTTGTAAATATAAATTTGAGATTTTTATTTCTGGCTGAGATATGAGTAGTTTATTGTGAAAAATAAATGTAAATGCTATTTTTAAGGTTAATTGTTCCCTTGAACACAAACGGGGCTTAAGAGTTGACTTCATGTTTTCTCAAACTGTTTCTCAAATCCAGAACTCAGGAAGAAGTTAACCATCCTACTTTCTTTAGTTGATTTGTTAATTAAAGTTCATGATCATTATTGACCCTGGTTGTATTCAGGGTGTGGAAAAGGATGACCTCAGACTAAATGTCTGTAGTTTGTTTATGAGTTGGACTTTGACAGGCTGCTCTGCGTAGTTATCTTGATGTGACCAACTTGTGTGTCATGAGCCTGGGAACGCTTGCATTAACTCTGGATAAATGGAATGGACCTGCAATCAAAGTTTCAATTAGAATGTAACTAAAGTTATCTTGCTCCCGCCTGAGAGCTGATTTGCAATCTGTTAATTAGAAATTAGAGTATTAGTCTAACTCTGACTTTTAATCTTGTGCATCACTTTAGGAAACCAAATCTTCTGTTTGGCTCGGTCAGATCATCCCATAATGTGTAGACTGCTCTACCTACACTGAGTTAAACACACAACATCCTTGACTATGTTGACTAACAGTTAAATGCTATGTTCAAATGTTGTGTAATGTGTAGCAACCATAATACATGATGAGTACGACCCCCAGTCATAACCACACCAGGGCCCGTATTTATCAAACTTCTTACAATTATTCCTAAGAATACTGATAAGAATGGACTCAAGTGTAAATAAATTCTTAACTAAAAGCTGAGTTTAAAAGTCAGTTATCAACAGTTATCTCAGTCTGACTTTAAGTCAATTGTAAACACTCCTGCGTACTCCATCTGAACTGACAAAATGGGTTCGAATTGTCGCATTTTCATGACAAAAATTGTCATTCGGTTTGCATATATATATATA